CCTTTCTATTCTGATTGAAACGGAGGAAAACTGAAGAAAGGCTTCCTCTTTTCCTGCTGTAGTTACAGCAAACTGCCACAGAGGGTCGCTGTAGTCAGGCTGTACTGCATGGCCTCTGGTTAAAGCTGAAACAAACAGCCCAAATAATGACTCAACACATCTATTTTCCTGGATATATAGTCAATTTAAATCCATGTTTAAAATAAACCAATTTATGCAAAACACAGACAAAACAGCAACAGAAAAGCTCATGAAAAATAAAGCAGGCGGCCAGCATCAGCCTTTAGTTATTAGCGACTGTAATCTGCTCTTTGCCCACTGAGACCTGACAGAGGGTTTTGCCTGTTAGAGCCCAGCTCATGTACTTTGCCTGTGACCCAATAAATGTCATTTTTTAGACTTTTGATCCACTCTGGTTTATTCTCAGGTTTCCCACTAAAGAACCGGTAAGTGAAAAACACATGATATGTCTTTGTTGAGCCTGCTGGATTAAATATTTATGATATTTGATGTGACCACGTAGTTTATTGGGTTCATTAGTTTTTTTTTTACATGTTAAGGTAGTAGTTTTGTAGGCTACCATCAATTTAATGTTAGCTAGCACTAGGTCCTGTTTAGTTTTAGTTATAGATGTTTCTTGTGAAATTGAGTTTATGCAATATCCATCCCTTGATGTCAAATGAACATTACAGAACGTTATCATTTTTGTGTGAAGAAAGTATGCAACATCAGTAAGAGCCCAACAGTTAGTGAAAATGATTTCGGCTTGAGAAAGATAACGTCATTAGCCTGCTAACGTTAATTACACATACCAGTATACTTTGCAGAGTTGCTAGCGGTTTAATTTGTGACACAATGTCCATTTACAAAAGTAAATGGGGCACCAACCCAGAACCTTGTAACACTTTAAACAGGTATTTTTAAAGTGACACCATTACATTTATTAGCTTTGATACTATAAACCAGATATCTTAAACACACACAAAGATAGGAGGTTTTTAATACCAGCCATGTACACAGAAGTCAATCATTAATAATAAATAAAAATGACCAAGCTGAATTTTCCATCTCTCCATTTGTTTCTAAGACATCTTCTTATTTCAGAAGGTGGAAAACAA